AAGGTAGCAGGCACTCTGTGCATCAGTGTATTTGTAACTCTTGGGTGGAAGAACTGATGAGACAGTTTCTCCTCACAGTTCATAGGCAACCGTGCGTGGTTCTCTCCAGCTCCTCTACAAACGCATTTTTATTTTGCCTGGCCTTTCAGTTTGCTTGGGATAAGAAAACCAGGAGTGTGAAGAGATGTGCGTGAACACTCTTCCTCTGGTATTCTACACTGGCTGTATCTCTGCAGGCATCAAGCTGAGAGGAAAAACATTCGTATCAGGGGAAATGGGGGTAGGGTTAGGGGAGTAGAAGAGTGAAGAGTGGACTGCTTCAGGAAAACTGCTAACCTTGAATTATGCAATCGGAAAAACAGCTCTTGCCAAAATACAATTCGAACGAAGTTCAGAGTACTGTCAGTGTTTGCCAAATACCCCAGCCAAAAGGATGTCTCAAAGAGGGGGAGGAGGGATCTGTTGCCATATGCCCTGCATTCACAGTATTCTGGAAGAACTGTGGAGTCCTTCAGGACTGGAGGCGTGCGCATGGTCTCAGGTGCACCCTGAGCATTGGTACCGTGATCCAACACAAGGCAGGAGCAGTGAGGTCAGAGGGGAGTAGGCAAATATATCAGAATGTCTTTATTTCTCAGACCTTCCAAGGTTTTGCTTCATGTTTGTATAGTAGTGGGAGGAGTTCTGGCAAACAATATCAGGCTGTTCTACATATGTTTTGACTCTTCTTGTTTTATGTTTCTTCTGTGAAAGAGACTGCAACCAAGTTCTTGTCATTTTTAGATCAATGTTTTGTTAAACTATGACAGCTATCCATGACAGAGAGCCAAGTAACTTTTGCAGCTGACCACAAAACTGAGTCTGACTTGCGGTGCTTAGTCATTTTTTATATTTTTTTTTTCTACATGACACATTCCATGTGTGTATGTGTTTTTCATTGTTCTTTTAAATATAATTAGAACATTGCTAGGAGCTGTGGTACAAATCAGTCTTCTCCGGCAGATTACTTTCTTTTATTAATAAAGTTTTAGAAACTTCTCATCACATTGTGGCTATTGATGAGACCTCTCTGGTTATACTTTGAACAATTGGACTATTGTGGGATTGATTGCTTTCTGCAGTATTATCTTCTTTGGTTCTTCCATTACAGTTTTAAATGATGCAGACAAGAGAGCTTTCGCTGCCCCTACAGAGAGTCTCTCCTACAATCCAGTAGGCGTGACTATTAGGGTAGTTTTCCCAACCTCTGCCAAAGTTCTTCATAGAGGAAAAAGATGTTTATATGATGCCTCTCAGCCTTCTGAGGCCTGATCCAAAATTGAGACATTCAGAAGAAAAATAATCAATTCATCTTTAGCAAGAGATCCCAATGTTTCTTCTCTTACAAGGGCAGAAACGTTCCTTACCATTTGGTTTCACTGCTTTGTGTTGTCTGATTTTTAGCGAGTCTCACAAGCAAATCTTTGCACCACTCCCCGGGGTTTGTACCAACCGAGCCTGTTCTTCCCGGCAGTATTGGTTCTAGGCTGCAGTTGATGCCACTCGTGCATCACTCCTAGGATGAATAGCATTTTATACCTTTGGAGTATGGGGCAAATATGAAACAAAGGGATTATCACTCTGGTTATTTTCTTGTACCTTTAAAAACCTGAAAGCATATGCCATTTCATCAGATGAACCCTTTTCCCCATTTCTTTCTCTGCCCAGCAAGACAACTAGATGTAGAGCTTGATAAAATAAGTTTAAGGTATAGTCCAACATAGTGTGCAGGAGTGTGCTACTGTCTCCTGAACTCTCGTGCTATATCACAACTGCTTTATTAAAGTGTGCTGCTGAACCCAGTACGCGTGTACTCCTCCTGTTATCGCTGTATGGTACCACAGCTTGCTACTGTTTACACAACTAATCCATCACAGTTTTAAGAATGTGTAATTTGCTATTGAATCAAGATAATGATGATAAATAGATCCTATTTTTGTATAAAATTGAAACCATTGTGGACCTCTTGTCTGAAGTTCTTAAATAGGTTCTGTGAGAGGAGGCTGGGCTCGCAATGTCAGCAGGTTGCCAGTTTATTTGGGGTCAGGGAAGAAAAGACTTTTTTCCTTTGCTTCTTCGGAGGTTTCATAAATACTTTCTCCATAAACTGAAAGACTCTGTGGGAAAGTAAAGAGATGCTTCCATCATATGAAAAGCAGTAAGTCATCAACTGAATGCTTTCAAGCACAACAAGATGGGAGTGCTGCTTAGCCACTTTGAAATAGTTTGTAATTGTACGTCTGGATTAGGGAAAATCAGATGCTGTGTGATTAATGGGAAGAGCGTAGGACAGGAAATCAGAACGCTCCTTACGGGTAGTGAGGCTTTTGCATCCTGCTAGGGTGTCACTGATCTCTTTCCGCTCCCCTAATGCTGTTGCAGAGGCTTAGGAAAGAGCAGGACTTAGACTTATTCTAGCCTGAGTACTTCTTAAACATTTCTAAACATTAACATAGAAGAGTACAGGTGGCTGTTTTGACATCCTCTGTTTCAAGAGCAATGTCATGCAGTTCTTTTTACCTGCCACCATATCGTTGCTGATTGAATTACCTTGTCATGCTCTACGGTTAAGTAGCAGGGAGTAAACTGTCACTGTGTTGAAAGGGTGGTCTCCCCACTCACCCGTGTTTCGGCTGTCCGGAGAGTCACCTCCAAGTGCTGGGGCTGAGCAGCGCAGCCCAGGAGCTCAGCACTCACCTGACATCCCTTCGCAGCCCCTCTTCAATCATGCCTGCGCTCTCTGACTTCATCTAATGTGGCTGTACCTCCAAATGCAAAACTTTGCCCAAGATGGATAGCGGCAGAGCATCTGTAGGCTTGTTAAGTCAGACTCTGATAAACGAGCCGTACCCGGTGTGTGCCTTGCAGACAGCATGCCGGAGTATTCGCTGACCTTAAGACTCAATCAGATCATGTCGGCAGAGCGTGGTTCTGAATGTAACTGCCTCTGACTTCAACAGCTGCGTTTACTGCATAAAGAAAAAGCTGTTAAGCCTGTGCCCTTTGCGCTCTCAGCTCTGTTTCCCTAAGAGGTTTATACATGATTCAAGAAAATTCTGCAGAGAATAACTCCCCTCCCCCATAATATACTCAACAAGAGGAGATGTTCTTTTATATTTTAGGTTGGTGGCAGCATTTTTAAATTGATTTCTGACATAAAAATTTTTGAACTCTATCATTATGAAGTTGACAGTAAATAGATTTTTTTCTGAGGAAAAACTGTTGATTTCCATTATATACCTGAGACCCATCTGAAGAAATACAAAGTCAACTTATTCCTGACTTTCTGTCTGCTGACAGGCTGCTTTGGAAATGAGAGCTGAGCTAAAACCAGCAGATCAAAGAGTCTGGTAAAGCTAAATGCCTGAATAGTTCAGGTGCTTATTTGAAGCTTCTCCAGGCTTTCTGGGTCTGCTGTGCCTGGTTGTGTTACAGAAACCCTTTTGCTTATGATAGGCTGACTCTGCTGCATGAGCTTTTCCTGCAAAACCCAAGAGGATAACTCATCTTGCACACTTTTGGTAGTGATATGTCTGGTTATAGACAGAGCACCAGGAGTGTGAAAGGGATCCACAATGAAAAATGAATGTGAGGAGTGGGAAAGTTAACCTCGTGTTCCCTAAACCCTGTGAGCGTGAGAAGTTGAGCAGATTGACCCTGTTTCTAACTCTCTCAAGAAAATCTTTGTGAAATAACTTACATGAATTTGCACTGTTCTTTGAATTGCAGATGCAGGGACATCACATTACAGGAAGCATTTCTCTATTCACATTGTTCTCTTTTCTGTTTCTGTCTGTAATACAACCTACTGACATTATTAGGCTACATTTTAAAGTTTCCGGTTGCCATGTGAAATCTGAAAGTTTTTTTAGTTTGTTGATCTTTTATAGTCATCAGGAGTGCAATAGAGCAACAGAACAGCAATCTTTCTTTTAGGAAGAAGCTCAAAAGAATATTTTCAACTGGAGCCACTTTATTATCATGCCGTATCATGTCATTTTCTTAGCTTTGCAAAAGGCACAGTGCCTAACGTTTTGAAATGTTGGTATTGCTTTCCTGAAAGATTTATTTTTAAACATACGATTGTCAGGAAGATAGAATGTTTATGAGTAAAAGTCATTGGGAAAACAAAAACAGTTGGAAAATGGAACACCTTTGTATTTGTAAAGTCAAACAATTCAGGGGGAAGCGAGGTGTTTTGAAGAGAACATTGGAATTAATGGCCCTGGCATGTTGTTCTGGCAATGTCTTTAGACACCGCTGCAGCCTGACAGATTAATTGGCAGCACGCACTAGCCTGTTGCAATGCAGGGTTCACAGATAGTTCTGACTAGATGAATGACGGACGGGGTGTTAGTAGGGTTGGGCAAAACAGTCTGGACAAGAACACAAACTGCTGCCCAAGTATCATGCTTAATTCAGGCTGACCCTTTCCCGAGGCCTGAATAAGTTTGAACTGCAGGGTGTGTTTTTTTTTTTTCCTCTGGGCTGCTTCCTAAAATACTGCCTCTTAAAAAAGAAAAAGGGCAAAGTCACCCATGTCTCTGCACTTTGATTGCCGGCTGGAAATAGAGCAAAACAATAAATACATTGCAAAAGAGTGTGTATCATCTAAACTTCCAGCCCAGCTTTGCAGTCCCAGGGACATAGAGAGTTGAAGTATTCTTCAGATGTGCAGCCAATTTTATCATGCCTAACTAAACCAATCTTTTCAACACTATGAAGTTTGCTCATCAGTAGCTAATAAGCGTGTTTTAAAAAGGACTTGGTAGAGTTTGCAACCATTGCCCTCCCAGAAAAAAAATATTATTATTACATATTCTTAAATGCTTGGCTCAGTAAACTGTTTTGAATTAATTGTTACCCAGCTTCCTTATCAACCTTCTAAATTTACTGTGAACTTTGTAGTTACAACATTTAATTATTTTCCTGATCCAAATCCTGTCATCTTGCTCATATAGGACAAAACAACACTGGAGACCCTGACTCAGCAACTGGCAGTAAAACAGAGTGAAGACGGGAAGTTTAGCCACGCTATGATGGATTTCAACATGAGTGGAGATTCTGATGGTCAGTACAAATGGCTTATCCTTATTTCCAGGTTTGTGTGTACATGTCAATGAGATCTGGAGGAGAACACAATTGCTTTGGAGGCCTGTGAGGAGTAAGAGTGGTTAGCAATAAGCAGCTATGGAACAAGGCAGGAAGAAATTATTTTTCATGTGGTGTTTTAAGTCTGGAGGTGATTTTTAGCCTTCTCTTTTATACACTGCAGTTCTTAAGACTGGACCAAGAATGGATTTCTGATGGTAAAAAGAAATAAAGGAGGCAAATAAATGTGGGATAAATGAGATCACACAGTAAATCCATGAATTTCAGACCTGATAGGTGATGCACACTTTGCATCTGTAGGAACTTTCTGGGTTTGATGAAACAAGTGTACTGTTCGTTTCTTTCTCTGCTATTGTTTATGTTGTTATGGAGAGGTAAGCACAAAAACAGGCAGATGTGTAAATGCTTGTTTGCTAGTTAGAGAATTGCTTAAGAAGAAATGCCTGATGTTGCCATATATCACCCCTTTCCCATCACAAAAAAAAGGTGGAAGCTAGGCAACATGGTACGACCAGCATTCTGTAAGCAAGAAAGGAAGAAGATGAAAAGAATATCTACATGGATAAGTGTTGGGCTTACGTTATTAAGTAGTAAAAGATGTTTTAGAAAAGCTGTTTAATTCTTTGTGTTGAAAAAAACAATTGAAACTCTTCATCAAGTCTATATTATGTGATATTGAGTCAATAGAATAACTAAAAACTGGACAGTATACAATATATGGTAATTCCCACTGCTTCAAGTAAAAAGAAGAAACACCATTAACCTATTGTGAACACTGACTCATTGACTGTGCAGCACCTGACATAGGTTACTGATGGCAGCTGAAGCTGCATAATGAAGCATAAGCTGGGAATGTTTTTCTCTTTCTTTTTAGGAAGTGCAGGAGTTTCAGAGTCTAGAATTTATCGGGAATCCAGAGGGCGTGGTAGCAATGAGCCCCATATCAAGCGCCCCATGAATGCATTCATGGTGTGGGCTAAAGATGAACGGAGGAAGATCCTTCAAGCCTTTCCTGACATGCACAACTCCAATATCAGCAAGATACTAGGTAAGAATGATAGAGCACTGTTCTTTCAGTAGCAAAACTCAGAAAACTTTTGACTGAATAGAGCTGAGCACCTGACACAACAGAATTACTGTCTCTAGAATGTGTGTTTTGCCACTTAATGACTGCACCAAGGACAGCAGTGATAGGAGCTTCCACCATGCTGCCCATCAGTATACATTAACCATGACCTGAAATGTTCTTGTGTAATTACTGAGATTGTGGTGGTGGTTTTGGTGCAAAAACATGAACTGAATAGAAGAAAACAGTTCATTTCATTCGGCTGTTGACCAAGCACAAAACAAGTGCTATTGTTTATTCGCCTACATATTTCACCTAGCTAGATTCTGTGGGGCAGCACAACACAGTATTTGATTTGTGCCATAGCACTTTCTATTCAAATCAATGGCCATAGGGAAAAGATCCTAAAATACATCCTTTTATTTTATACACTGACAGTTTTAAAGGATTTTTATTATGTTCCTGTTATATTAAATTTCTCTTTAGTACATGATCTCTATCACAAGCTGCTTTTATTATAAATATTCTGAAAAGAATCCTGAAATCAAAAAAAGAAGCATCAGAACTAATTTCCATATCTTCTACTCTTCACATCTCAAGCAATATTTGTCATGAGCATCATCTACTGAATTTCATGCCACAGTCTTCCAACTTTTCAGTACTTGCTCAAATTCTCAGGACTACATTCTGTCCTAAGTTACTCTGATACACTGAATGATACAGAAGGTGAATAATGAGGATCTCTAAGGCCAATGAATTACTGTTTTGCAGGGAAAAAAAATGTAGCTGTGACCAAATTAGAGATGTTGCATTTTTACTGATAAAGACTGTGTTACAGGGCCTAAATGTCCCTTCAGCCCATGGGTAGAAGCTTAAGCGGGGAACATGTTTACCTGGACTGCAGGTCTCATTGGTTTTGCAGACAACTTGAGAGATGTAACACAACTGTAATGGCAGCATTAACCAGCTGCAGGGCTGGTAAATATGCTGAGTTTAAACTAGTCGGAGGCTTGAAGTTTGGCTTGATTAGAGTGGTCTTATGAAAAGTTATCAGGGGGCAACTGGAAATGAGATAAATTGGTTGGAGAGGCAGGATGTATTGGCTGTTGATGGCAGATGTGACAACATTAACCCATGATTAAAAGGGTGGTATGAGATGATTAGATTAGTTATGGAAACAGGATTAGAAAGCTAAATTGGTTAGGTTGATGGTAAAATAACCTTATACTGGTTAAAAGGGATTATACTGGTCAGAGGTGTATGATGTGATTAGACTGAGGACAGGGCAGTAATAGTTTTGGTCTGTTTCTAAATTGAGAGTAGACCTGGTTAAACCTGCTTTTAAATAATCAGCTTCAGAAATCTACAAGATCATTCTGAATGGCCCTTTTCATATAGAAAGTACAAAGAGAGCTTGATGTTTTCCCTCTTAACTGATTGTTTTGGATAACAACCTCCGACAGCACGCTGCTAATTCATTCTGCTTAAAACAGGCGCTTGAGCTGGGCTGACATTTTACGCAGTCTCTGGGGATCCTGGTTGACATTTTAAAGGGCTTCTAAGCATTTTATAATACCCTAAAATCTGGTTTTAATAAGCCATTCTGCTGAAATTGTTAACATAAGGAATCACCTTTTACTATTTGGCGCTAGATCAGGGAGATATGGGGACATCTTTTTCTGATTAGATATACAGTAGTTGGAGTAAAATGTGCAAATTCATTACAGATCCCGTTGAGGTGACAGACAGTATAGCTGACTCCAAACTCTTTCTGTTTTGCTGCCAGATATGGGAAAAAGCAAGGTCTGAGGCAGTAAGAGATGATGTTTCTGTTTCTTTCCAGCATCACATTTAATTTTTTTATTCCACCTATGCAATGGAGAGGGATGGCCTGACATCTTCTTTCTTGACAGAAACGTTACAAAGGTCTTCTCTCAATTGCAAGAGGCCAGTCTTTTGAAGTCAGCAGGGAGCTCTCTGTTAACTGGCATAGGGTGAGCAACTAGAAGCTTACAGTTCAGCCAGGTATTAGGGTCTCTTTATTAGAAAGCCACAATTTTTCCCTACCATTTTTTTAGCAGCGCTGCTACACATTGAGGTCAGAAAGCTCATTGTCACAGGGAGTAGCTTAGATGGAGTTGTCACTGATCGAGGGTCATTTTTATAGTAGAATGAGAGGAGGTGCCCTTCCTAGCACTAGAATTCTCTAGGGATTATGTTTGACACTGTGGTATTATGTTTTGAGCATAAAAATTAGATACATGGATTTGTCACTAAATTCATCTGTGCATACGTTTGTCATCCATCTGTTCATTGCAACTTAAACTTGCAGATAATGATTTTTTTTTAGTAAATTGTTAAAAAAGTGCTAAAATGGGTCTGCTGGACCCTATCAATTTAATAATGCATTGTTTAGATATTTTTGTAAATATTTTAATTAACTTCACTGAGAAATCTACATAAAGAGATTAGGAAATGATGAAGTTAGATACTACCTTCAGAAAGTCTTTTATGGACGTGCAAGTGTGTGAATACAAACCTACATACTTGCCTATACGTTATACAAGTGTTTGTGTATGTGAGGGTGTTTTTTAAACGTAAAATCACCCTGACTCAAATACTTGGATTGACAAATGTCAGTCTGGTGGTCTGAAAGTTAAGCAATATTGCGAACAGCTGAAAATTCTTGTCAGAGAAACTTGGCTTAAACCCAGCGATAAGCAGAGCTCCAAACCCCACCTAGTGCACGCGCGTGTGTGCCCGAGCACAGGTGCTGGGAACGTGTCGGGGCGTCTCTTTTCTGGCCTGGACTCGGATGGCTGGCCCACACAGCCGCGTCTGCAGTCACCGCCGGGGCACAGCTCTAGCTGCCCTGGCTCACTTCGGGGGCAGGAGCCATGTTTGGTGCTGCAGAGTCTTGCAGTTTTCTCATTTATTTTCTAAATACTTCAGCCACCAGATCAGCGAGGATTGTGCGAGAATCCTGCTTGTCATTATGCATTCATCCAGGGAGGGGAACGGGTTCTTGTTTTCATAGTCAAGGAGAAAAGCCTTGCATACTTGACCCACTCAGAGCTTTCTAACACAGATGGTGAGCAGAAAGCTCACCCAAGAGTGTAAATCTTCCCTTAAAAAGAAAGATTTTTCAAGATTCTTCAATCACACCTTGTTTGGGCTCGGGCTTGGTACTGTGCATAGGTACCTGTGCCTGCTTCTGTGTGTTTACAGACACATAAAACAACGGCAGATAAAGTTATTACAAATATATTTTGTCCAAACATAAGGTATTTTTAACCAGTTTTTAGTATGCTGATTGACAATACTCATTCATTGCTTATCTTGCCCGTGGATGCAAATTCAAAGATCAGAGTTATATATTCTTCAAACCTGCACAATTTCAGATTAAGACTAATCAGAGAGCTGGTTGGTGTTTGTATATTACTAAGAAAATAAGTGAAAATGTTAAAATGTAAAAAACAGGGTTTATCATCAGAAAATGTGCCCTCTTTCAAAATTTATTTTGACAGCATTGCTTGCTTAATTATTTATGATACTTCAAAACATACTAGTAAATTATATTTAGTATATTTTGTAAAAATGGTAAAGTAACGGTAAGAGGAGGTATCACTGCAGAAGGCAGCTATTAAAAATTTGCTCAAAGAGAGGTGAGACTGCCAGGATTTTTGTTGTGTTGAGTTTGCAGCTTAGGAAGGAAAAACATAACAAATGACATTTATGTATAAATATTGTATGTGTAACTATATGTACAAATATTATGCATCAAAATTTCAGTTTTTATGGCCCTGATCCTGCAAAGACTTATGTGTTTGCCTAACTTCACCCACTATTTACAGATCTTTTCACATGAGGGGGTCAGAATCTGCCTGCCCAGATATGACTGTAGGATTGCAGCAAGTGGGCTAGCACAGCAAAAGAGGAATTGTGCTGGGATAGAGCATTTGCATGGCAATGTTGCAACAACTGATTCGAATTTCTACCTTTCTGTCTGTCCATCTGTCTCAAAATATATCTGAGTTCGTACATTGCAGGTCCCCTCACAGCATGTAAAGCAAACGTCAAGATTTGTTTAAAGACATAGGTTTTCAACTTTATTATTCATAAATAAAAACTGATTCATCAGCAGGAAGTGGTACTGGGGCTGCAGCAGGTCTGTGATTAGAAGACTCTAGGTTTAAACTAACTTTTATTTTTTTCTTCATATGCTAAAACACCAGTGTGCCAGTGTCTGTGAGGTAGAATTTGAAAGTGGACCTACATCTGGACATCTTCCAGTAGAGCTCATGGGCTTTACCCTGAATTCTTAACATGGTTCAACAGAGTCCCTATCTGCGTTTCCATCTTAGGCAGCATTAGTAGGTGTTAAGTGTTTTGACAGTCTCCACACATTTATCACTGTGTCATTTAGCCCCAAATCTAGGAGGTACTACGCATGGAAAGTTAGTGTCACTTTTTCTAGCCGCTCTTTTTGCCAGAAAAAGCTTGGAATAATTTCTCTGCAGGAGGCAAAGCTGCTGACCAGGCTTCTGGCCGCTGAGGCTTGCTGCCCTGTATAACACAGAGCCACAGAGCCCCATGCACAGACGCTACCTCAGCCTGACATGGGAAGTACCATGCAGGAGTTTTAGTCCTAGCCCTAGAAACTATCTAGTTATGCTAAGACAGAGCTGCACCTAATCTAACAACGGTGTAACTAAACTGTTTCCCACTCCAGAACTCACTGGAGGATCTCTGCATGTTACATGTTGTAAACATAGTGAAAAGTGATAGTTTTGACTCCAAAGTAATGTTTGCTAAGAAAGGGATGTCGATTGCTCCTCTACAGAACAAAGACATCATTATTTACGAATCGGTGGTCTCTAGGTGTGAGGTCAGGCTGTGCCAGCCTGCCAGCCCTTCACTCCAGAAGCCCAAACTGCAGCTTGGAATAAAGATTCAGAGAGCAATGGGGAAAATGGTGTCAATAATCAGAAGGGGCCTTTGTAGAGGGAACCAAACTGTTTTCTTTCCTGGGAAGGGATAACTGCGCTCTCTATATTGTGAGGCTTAGGGGCACAGTGAGCTAAGACCAGCCTGAGTAATAGCATGAGCTAAGCACAGTATGAGTAACCATAAAAAATGAAGAACAAGAGGAAGTCAAGTATGACATATGACATTATGAAGCCATTAAATTGAGAAACTATTCAAACTTTTTTTCCAATGGGAAAATTGACTATTTTCCAATAAAGTTTTTCTTCTAGGCCACATGTTTCACAGCTTGGACCATTCCTGTTATTTGAAATGTGTTTTGCCCTGAAGCACTTCTATAGTTCATGGAAAAATAAAATAGGGTGACTGATTCACAAAATTTTACTTTCTGCTCCCGTAATATGTCTTTTAAGAAGTACTAGTTCATAAATTTCAGGAGATATTTGAAAACAATTGTAAAGTCTTCATTATTTCCCTAGCTTAAATATCCACACTAATGTAGACAGTGTCAGAAACAGGGCTGCCAGCAATGAAGCCCTAGTGCAGCTCAATGGAGAGGTGTGCCAGTATCCCAGTGCTCTTCCCTTCATCACACATACTAAATTCTTTAAGTTGGAGCTGGCAGTGTTCGGCAGGACTTGATCTTGGAGTTAAAACCCCACTGAGACATATGAGATAGTTTATAGCTTTTAGAGGCATTGCTTCAGGGTCTTTGCAGGCTCCTGTATCCAGCAGCATAGCATTCAAAGTCAGTTCATATGCTGCTTCTCACAAACCTGGAAGCTAGAAAGATACGGTATTTATCATGAAAGACTAAGCTGTGGACGTGTTCATATCCAGAGTTTATGCCTTGATCCAGCCATGGTGGAACGCAGCAATGATATCACAGCACATGGGAGTGGTGCCTCCTCGAGAACAGGAGGTGAAACAGGCCCAAGGCCAAAGGAAGCCAGGGGGAACATAGAAGAGCAGACTCTGTATCTAAGGGGTCTTTGGCCATTCCGTTAAAATACACTGCCTTGTTTTCTAAAACAAAGTGTCAGGGATTGTTCATTATCGGGATGATGGTTTTACTTCCCACCTGAAAGACATTATAATGTAGATAAGTTTCAGTAGAATATTGAGTCAAAACTTCCAGTATCATCCCTCTCTGCCTCTTGGCCATGCCCAAGAGGTTTACCAGTCAAATACAAACAAGACCTGACCCCTGTCTAGAAGCTATGACAGATTCCCAGCCCAAAGTGTTATGGCCGTAGGTATTTGTTCTGGGTGACCTACTTGTTTCTCTGCCTTTCAGTGTTTGTGGATGAGTAGAATCTCATTTCTCATTCTTTCTTTTTTTTTTTTTTTTTGCGACAGGATCTCGCTGGAAAGCTATGACAAACCTAGAGAAGCAGCCATACTATGAGGAACAGGCCCGACTCAGCAAACAGCACCTGGAGAAATACCCAGACTACAAATACAAGCCAAGGCCGAAACGTACTTGCCTTGTAGATGGCAAAAAATTACGCATTGGCGAGTACAAGGCTATCATGCGCAACAGACGCCAGGAGATGAGGCAGTATTTTAATGTTGGGTATGGGACCTTTAAAAACTACCGCTCATTTCAGCAAAAAAAAATTTCAGGGATAATTCTTAATTCAGTGTGGTAAATGTTATATTTTATTGGCAAGAACATTATATATTGCTAACAGAATACGAAGCTTATACTTTAAAACAACGTGTTCCAGGAGGAAGTTAGGCAGTTACGGGTTTTTTTTGTTGGCTCTGCTATATACTCATCTTACAGCTTCGGCCAACTGTCTCATTTCCACTCTGATCATGTAAAAAAAAAAAAAAAAAAACTTAAAGTTTTCCAATGAAATGTAAGTCTTCTAATAAAGCCTTGTAAGTATTACTTTATTATGAGGCCTCACGAGATTATATCTGAATTAATCTGTGGTAGTGCCTCTTGATCCAAAAGCCAAAAATACAAGTTTGCATTCAGCATGATCTGTGGCAAGTGGTCTGCAAAAAGACCGCTGAACATACTGGACTTGAGCTGGAATATGGACTTGGCTCAGTTAATTTGTATCAGGCATGAAGTTTTCTGCATTGTTCATCATGATGGCATTTGTCATACTAGGGAGTGCCTTCCAGTACAGTAAACTACTTTGTATTGAGCATAAATTTCAAGAAGACTGGTTCTGATAAACAGCTAATGTATCAGCTTGATATGATTAGATTAAAATCTAGCATATATTTTCCTTCTGTGAAGACTTCTTGGTTTTGGTTACAGCAGATCAAAAGAATTGGAAGTAATCAAATCTTCTGCAGTATTTCTGTATTCACTTCAGAAAATGGAAAGCTACACAGTGGCCTTAAAAATAGCAAAACAAGCAACAGGAATGACCCTCGGAAATAATGGAATTTGTGTTCTGTTTCATCTGAATTTGGAATCATTTTGATATTAACGGAGTTGCACATCACTCTAGTTAATGCCTAGAAGTAGCAATAAAGGAGAGAATATCTGTCCAGCAACTGTTAAGTGTCATCAGACTGTGTTTTAAACAGCTACAGTGTGCATTGTTATAGTAAGCCGCTCAGCAGAGAAATTTGAGCTGCTTAACCCTGTGGCGCTGGCAGGTCCAGTGATCCCAATGGTAAGCAGTGAAACAAACACAGGGAAGTCAGCCAACATTTGGCATCAAGAGATTAAAAAAAGAGGAGGGGGGCCTTCCGGAGAAAGAATAGGTGGCAACAGAGCCCCCAACACACTGCTTATCTGGTTAACATGCATGCTTCATCATGGGAAAAAAAAATAACCTTGTAACATTCTGCATATTATTTGGCTTTCCAAACAAGGCTGACATTGAAATCAAGACATTTCTGGAGATAATTTGCATGGGGGTATTAGAGCACAGAACCTGGGGTGGAATCTTTGTATAAGTTACTGACAGAGCAGCCGATGACTGCAGCAGGGTCAGTGTTTGATGCTGGCAGTCACAGCACTACAGTTGCGTTCCTGGGTTTAGTTCCCCATCTGCTGCATCACCCAGTACGGGTCATTTCGGGCTAAACTTCTGAGCACCGATCTGGCTCCTGCCTGGGCACCAAAATAAATGATTGGGGTTACAAGAGCCATGGCTATGCCAGCTGCTGGGACATGGTGGAAGCCTGTCTGAAGGCATTGCAATGAGAAGGATTGGGCATTTTTTGCAATTCTTGGACTTAATGCCTCCCTGTCTCACTGTCCTCCTCTTCAGTGGTAGTGTGACAAGCTCACCTCACTGGACTGCTGAGACTGCTAATACATTAGTATCTGAGGGCTGCTTTGAGGTCCTCTGGAGTGGACATCCTATAGAAGTGGAAAAATACTATTCTTAAATTATTTAATATTTGAAAAGCACTCTGAAAAGCACCATTTAAGTGCAAAGTGTTCCTATTGTTAAATATTAAAAGCAATTTAAGTGTGCTGAATCTTGTTACAGAAATGCTGACTCCAGAAAACAAAAGCCTTCCTATTGAATTAAGAATAAAATGCAAATTAGATCCACTCCCTACTTTAAGAGCCATGTCTTCGGCTGAGACAACTTCTACTTGTTTCAGAAACACAGAAATAAGGACTGTGTGGAGGGAGGCCTCACTCGAATGGCAGGCAGGAAGTATCTGAAAATGCAGCAAGCAATTCCAAACAAATGTAAAGCTGTTTGGCAGAGGAAAGTCTTTCAGGATCACTGTACTGTGCAAGGCTTACTGTACAGCCAGGGCACAGGCAGGCAGGGGAACAGGGGAAGGTTTCATTCTTAATTAAGAATATTCATCTCAAGAGACTCTGCCCTGTCTCCTGTGGCAAGGCTTTTCAGTGCAGATGGACACACCGCTGATGACATTACAATGTGCAGCATGTACTGAAGAGTATTACTGCAATGGAATTACTTCATGCAGCAAGCAAACAAAAGGAGCATGAATTTTAAACCTCTAGGCTTGTTGGGACCCTGAAGCTTCTCAGGGAAACAAACACTAGCATAACACAGCTAGTGTTCATGATGCAAAGGGAATTTCTATGGCCTGGAATAATTCTTCTTTCATGGCTGTGGACAGGTTTCCAAGGCTTAGACGCAGCATAAAGGCATCCTGTAGAGGATTTTCTCAAATGCTCACGTTGCTTGCTAGCTTTTTATTTATTTTTAAATAATGCATACTTCTGTTTTAAGTCTGCCTTTTCCCAATTTTATCCACCTTCCTTCAAAGGTTCTGCTTTTCACAAGTGCCGCTCGCTGTGGAAACTATCACCTTCCAGTGGGAGGCCCTTCATGATCATCCCATAAGCCCATATTGGCCCCAGAAAGCCCGCTGTTCCTCTCCCTAATAACGGCCAGGTCTCTGAGTGAACGTGGAGTAAACATTGCCTCTTTGGAGAGACCTGCCTTGCTTTCTCCTCATCCACTGGTACTTTCCTACAGCACCTCCTCAGCCCTGTGCACACCCCCTAGCCTTCGCCGTGTCTCTTCTGTTGGCAATGTGTTACTTTTATGACTAGTCCTGCCAGCATCTTGGATTATTTAAAAGAAAGATTTTCAAAATACATGGTTTTTAAATTGGACGACAATTGAAAAGATGTTTATTTTTGGCTGGCAGCTCATGGCACACCCAGTTTACCCAGTGAAGAAGTTTGCATCACGAGCAGGCAAGCTGAAGCTGTGTAGTTCAGGTACAGCTAGAGGTGTTTACAGAGATTGGGTTTTCTTACCAGTGAAGTTGATTTGGGCTTGATGTTCATTTCAAGAGCATCAGCTGGTGAGCCTGGAGTATTGGCATAGGGGTTGTCCTGCATGGGCCATCCAGGAGCTTCCTCTATATGCCCAAGAGCACAAGCTGTGGTCTTGCAAAATGCTGTTGTACTTCCCCTCGCTGTACTCCTTCCAGTATTCAAACGTCCTTTTACTTTTTCTCCACGACAGGCAACAAGCACAGATTCCCATTGCCACCGCGGGCGTAGTTTACCCAGGAGCCATTGCCATGGCAGGAATGCCTTCCCCACATCTGCCCTCTGAGCACTCGAGCGTGTCCAGCAGCCCGGAGCCCGGGATGCCCGTCATCCAGAGCACTTACGGCATCAAAGGCGAGGAGCCTCATATCAAGGAGGAGATGCAGACCGATGACGTCAATGGAGAAATCTACGATGAATATGATGAGGAAGAGGATGACCCTGATGCGGACTATGGCAGTGACAGTGAAAATCACATTGCGGGGCAAGCCAACTGATCAGGGTCCAAATATCTTGTGACCTACAGGACTTCAAGGAGAAAAGAAAAAATAAATAAAGCCCCATCTGGTTTATCTTTGCCAGTGGCCAAGCACATTAACTTTCTCATACACTGACTGTTACTTTAACTGTTAGTCTTAACTAGTTGGGACATCAGCTGACTAATAGACATCAGCCTGCATCAGAAGAAAAAAGGCTCAGAAGAAAGGAAACAAAGACAACGACGACAACAACAACAGAATGATATAAGCTATGGGTAAAATAATGCCAGTAATTCAGCTGCTATACCCAAGCACTGAAGTCTTACCCGTCGACCTTTTATTATTATTATTTTTTTTTCAAATAAACTTTATGGCTGTTTGTTCTACAATGTTCTAGAAATTCTCACTCAGGTACACAGTGCCAACAAGTGGCTTGTGAATGTGTTTTGTTGTTTTGTGCTACAGTTTAAAGAGAAATAATTTTTTTTTTTTTTTGGTAATGCACCTGACAGGAAAGAAAAAAGATAAAATTCCTTTTACCCCTTCTGTCTCCTCCTCCTCCTCCTCCTCCCTGGCAAATCTGGGTCAGAAGTGTGTGTGTGTGTGTGTGTGTGCGCGTGCGTGCCTGTGCGCATGGCTGGCAAGGAAGGAAGTGGGGAGTCTGTTTCTGTTAACCCCATCAAGCAATTATTTCCTTTCAAGAGAGGACTTCTCTTCATCAGTTGCACACCATACTGAGTCTTTGAGCAAGTGCCAAATTTGTACTAAAGCGCTGAACTAGTCCAATTTGCTTTTTTTTTTGGTTGGTCTCTTCTTCTTGTTTTGTTTTTCTTTTGCTTGTCTTTTGCTTCCTGCTCTGTCTTAAGTTAGGACAGTGTTGTATCTTAGACAATCCCTTGAAGAACCTGATATACCAGCAGGTGGTGAGATTAGACATATATTTTTGGTTTTGGTTTTGCTTTTTAAAGGAAACTGTAGGTGCCGTTCTCAGGTGAAAAAAAGAGAGAGAGAGAGAGAGAGAGACATAAGAAATTTAGAGAAAAAATATTTTATGGTCTTGGATTTTCATGTGTGCGTGTTTATGGTACTAATAAGAATAATATTGGACTATTGTGAGCAAAAAGCATGTTCCAGAATGAAGTCCCGCACCCTCCAAAAAACTTGGTCTGTAAGGAGCCTTTGCTTTTAATTTACACTTCAAGTGGCAGCATATACAACATAAAAAAGGCTTGTCCAAAGTGTGATTTGTTCTGCACAGGACAGGGCAACTGGAAATGTTACCTCCTCGCTAAGCATAATTAGTTACCGTGAATGTCCAGTTTTGATGAACTTGTACCTTCAGGGTGGCTGAGTACTGATCTCTGGTTCCAAAAGTGATTTTGTTTTTAAACTGACATTTTTTTTCTCCTTTGCACTTGCAGAAATCCATTGTTATCAGTGGGATGTTTGTGTAGGAAGGAAGACTAATAGCTATGAAGAGATTTCCATATTCAAAGTGGGCATGTAAGAACCTGAACCTTTGCAGTGCTGAGTTTCCCTAGCTGCTGTTTCTCACAAGTGAAAAATTATTCTCCTGGGCTAAAATATTTTCAGCGTTGTTCTAGAGCCCTTAGATACATTGCTTGGGCATTTTTGCCTTCCTTGGGCAACAGCAACAAGTTGAAGAAGGTAGATTTACACAAGCGTAATCCTGAGCAGAAGTTAGCCTCTTGTATTTACAGAAATGTAACTGAACGTTACACTTTATTTCAGAAAAAATAATGTCAATACAGGTGAATTAAAGAGTCTCTTCCCACCTCCTTACTCTGATCTTCCTGTAGAAGGAGAGGACCCAAGAGAGTGTAGCAGGGCAGAAGCATTTAGATTTCAACCAACCAACCTACCAACCAACCAACCAAAAAGGCTAGCCCTACTTTCAAACAGCAGCTATCCAGGAGCTCCTCTCTGGCCTGGGAAGGAAAGGCTTAAGCTCATACTGAGGCAAAAGCCTTCACCTGAGTTGGTTTCCTAGCTGAGGATGCCACCTTGGTATTCATGTTGCTCCCTGATAAATTCCTACATTCCTACTCCTAGAGAGAGACTCATTGATATTGTTACCACTTTTAAGTTGTAAAAATAGCCCTGTGCATCTTAGTGCTGGTGAGATCCCAGCCCAAGCATTCGCCAGAGACATGGTCTTCAGTACTTGGCAACATTGATTGTGCAAATGGTCCCTTAATCAGGCAAATTTAGCCCGCGGTGCAATCAGCCATTTACATGCGGGTGCAGGATGAAAGGGGCAGGGAGGAGGAGAGACGGGGAAGGAGGATGCGGGGGAGCCTTTCTTTGCCTCTTGAAATCCCACTTGAAGTGTAACTTGACCTCTGCAGACCTTTTGCAAAGCAAACGAGCAAATGCCATTGAAGACGTAGGACAATACTCCGACGAGCGGTTTGGACGTGTGATAGTTTTACCCTGCGACATCCGTTTTATTTTTCTCCCGTTCTCCTTTTTTTGATATCCACCTCTGCCTCGAAAAATTCTTTTCTATTTTCTCTCTCTCAGAAGATTTGCTCTGAAGTTATGCTTGGAGTAGCTGATCATATCCTCCATGTCAGAGAGGGTTCTTTTCGTTTGTATTTTATTACTGTGTTGGGTTTGTTTTTGGTTTTGGTTTTTTGTTTTTTTTTCCGTTGAACTGCCTCTTCTTGCTAGTGTTGTAATGGTAATTCTAATAATAATAATAATAATGGTCAGCTGTTCCCAGATTAGTAAATTATATATAATTTATTTTATTCCCCCCCCTTTTTTTAACTTTATTTTATTCTGTTCTAATTTGGCAGTGCAGCAAATGAAGCTGTTAGGCTATTTAAAATGGATACCCCTCCCCACCTTGCCTTTTTATATATATATAAATATATATATATACATATGAAAACAAATCGCTTCTTCTTCTGCTCACACCATTCCTCTTTCTTTTATTTTAATTTTGGCCCCAGCCATGTCAACTTCTGATGTTTATTATGATGGAGTGAATTAATGGGAGTGTTGTTTTCAATCTTAATTAACTTCTGCTCTCTCATCACTCATTTTAGTTATTTAATTACACCAGTCATCTAGAGCCAATTTTTTTTGAAGCACTCTGTTTGGATAAGAAGGAAAAAAAAAATAGACAATTGTTTTTATATCATTATTATGTACAATGTGAAAACGGATATTTGCTCCTTTTTTTTTTTTTTAACTTTTAAATTTGTTCCCTGTCTTTGTGAACAAATTACTTCTGACTCTTGTGGGTTCACCTCACATTTGCTGGATGCTTGATTTCCACCACGTTATAGAGACTCTCTGGTTTATTTGTGTCACTTTGGGCTACCAGAATACTTTGTTTTAGCTCCAGGTAGGTGCCACTGCGGCAGGCGTGATCAGAGCAAGTCTTAAGAGGCGTGGGCTGGATGGAAAGCCGGCCCGGGGGAGGTGGATGGGAGGAAGGCCCTTTGACTTCGGCGGGCCCGAATTTCAGGTGCCGGGGGCAGCCCCGTGTCCGCGGGCAGGGCTGTGGGACCCCGCTCCCTGCCGCGGCCCGCGCTGGGGCCCAGCTGAAGGCCGGCGTAGCTCCCGGACGCGGCCCCGTCTGAGAGACTGCGCGGGGGCCGGCGGTTGGGTCAGGCTTTCCGCATGGGTAGCTGTAGCAGACTATCCACGTCCTGCATTCGGGTGTTGAAACCGATGCAGCAATGTTAAAAAGGAAAAAAAGGCCACAAAAAAGGCCAAAAAAAAAACAAACAAACAAACAAACAAACAAACAAACAAAAAAGGCTCTGGGGTCCCAAACCAGCAAAATACTTAACGCCTGTGCTAATGTTTTGTTGGGTCCAAGGTTGAGCACCCATATGTCCTTCGGCAGTAGAAGACCAGATTTGAAAATGAGGCCCTGTTTGTCCCTCTTTAATTTCTTAGGAAAAAAAAAAAAGAAAAAAAAAAAAAAAAAAGGAAAAAAAAATAACAAAAAACAAAACAAAGCAAAACATACATTTATAAAAAGATCTCCTTGTCTTGTTTCTTTTTTTTCCTGGGTTCTGTGCCCTGGAGCATGTAGAAAAACCAGGTTAGAGGAGATTAGGATCATATTAACCTAAAAGCGCAACGAGGCCCTAATGCCGAGGCAGGCTTCGTTCCCTTCTTCCCTGGGAACCTGGCGAGCGAGGATGGTCTTGGGGAGCTGCCGGGGGGGGCGTACGGGCCATCTCCTCCTAAATTAGGGAGCCGCTTACGCCATGTGTCTTGTGAGCATACAAAAGAACAACACCAGCAGTGGGGAAAAGGGGAAAAGAAGAAAAAAAACTGAGGCACTTGCTTCTAAGCTCAGTTAAATAACACAGAGTATATCCTTTTTCAATTTATTCATGCCTTATATTAGTAAAATAGGATTTTTAAGTGCATTTAACATCTTTATTTAACCGTTCCGCTATATTAATCAGGCCCCCAGAAAAGAACACTAGCTATTATTATAGCATTTAATTAGTTTTGTAACCAAATCCTCTTATTACGAATGCATATGGAAGAATTTCTTTCTTCGAAGACATTATTTCAAAGATTTGGTTACTGCGGTAGACTCTCTCTTTAATTAAATCATTTTTTAGAAAGTAAATTGTCTTTAACCTTTTTACAGCACATTTTCAGAGCTTTTTTCTTTTTAATCCAAAGAGATGAGCTGTTATTGTCCCCGAAGAAGCCTCTGACATCACGTTCGTAACATCAAAAATAATTATACTCCGTGAAAACGTAGACCTTACTTAGCAAGAATTCATCTGCTAGAATGAATGGCAACTATATGATATCTCATACGTTTAAGGGCATGATGTATCAGATAGGAAGTATTTTTGTCTGCCCACTTCCCGATAGAATCATACCTTCAATTTTGCAAAGAACTGTGTGTAATTCACTAGATGTGGATTCAAATCTATCCTCAATTCACAGGGCATGGGCTGGCTGTTTAGCTTGGTTTATATTTACATTTTTTCAACTTTATCTTAACTTGTCAGTTTCCCAGATTGAAGAACATGTCAAGTTCGTTTTTTCTACTGACTGATTTCTCTACTCCCCAGTGTTTTTGTCACTGGTTTGCTGAAACAGTATTTATATAGCTCCATTGGCTCTAAAGCTCTTACTCCTTCTAACGTTTTGGATTTTACAAGTGAAATGAAAATAGAAAAGAAATAGAGACAATCAAATGCCTGGAGCTTAAAACAAAGTATGTGCAACCTACCATCTCACTTGAAATTTAATAAAAGAAATAATTATGTAAATATAACATAGAGTTATAGATTTATATTTTGTTCATAACACATAGTGTAATATAAGTTGTATATTTTCATGTTTTGGTTTTATGTTATCATTCATGCCACAATAAATAAAAAAAAACAGGAGTTGATGTACTCTTTAAAAAAAATACAATGTGGGTTGCCACCATCCTGGGTTTTTGGTTTTGGTTTTTGGTTTTTTGTTTCTTTTGCATTCCCCTTTTTCAGTATTACTGCCCTGCAAGGCACCAATAAAACAGCAAATGTGTTCTTTACCTATCCTGTGGTCTGTTTCCCACTTATTATAGTGAAGGGTGTGCTAGTTAATTGTCTTTTCATTGGCTGGGCTCAAGGAACAGAAAATTAGATTTAGATTCGGCTTACCAGTCTGCTCCAAAATTCAAGGTTTTCATCAAATCACAGGAAAAAAAAAGAATGACCCTATCTTTAAAATATCAGCATTAAAACAGAAGAAAAAAGTTGGTTCCTGAACAATGTAGTACGGTCCAATTTCCAGTTCAGAGTTGGGGCACCTCATAAATGGGGATGGCTGAATCCAGAGGTTTGGCCTGTGCATACCTTCCCAGGTTACATTCACTTTGTATAGGCTTATCTGTGTGGAGACCAAAGCAAATTCAGGGAAATACCCAATTATAAACGCCGATGACACAAAGCTATGAAAAAAATAGCTCTGCTCATAGTTAGTCAAAATGTCCCAACATGCTGCCTAAACAGTTCATGAAGTTTTGACAGCAGCATATGGCACAAAGTGGGATGAAATGAATTTGTACCTGTTTTTGACAGTAAGTTATTCTGATGGGTGCTTACTCTCAAGTGCCTACGGCTTGACAGATGCCATTCTATGGTTCCAGATTTCCTGAAGGGAAAAGGCAATATTTGGGAAAGCAGGAGGTAGCTGGTGGAGGTCCTATGAACCTGCCTGCACTTCTCTTGCCTGCCAGGTTGTCCTCTGTGCTCTTCCCGGGAGCAGGGTGGCACCTGGAACATCCCATCAGCAAAACAGAGGTCTGTTCTGGCAGCTTCCAGGTACAGCCTATAGCACCTATATAGCACCTGTCCAGGGGAAGTTGGGCCTGAGCAGAACTGTATAGTGTGAGGCTCAGGCCAATAAATGTCACCGTCCTTTAACCCCTTAAATTCCCTTTATTTGTTACTGTCATCAACATGCGATGAAGGGAGCACCTGTCGACCTGAAAGGCCAGAGGAACAAACGTGACTGTGCTGCTGCTGTCAAATTACGGTGTAGTTTGTATTCAGTGTGCCTGACACCTTAACTGCAACTTGAGCCAAGGCAAACATTTTGCTTCTTTACCCTTTTGACAAAGATGACCCTAAAGCAAGGAATATCATTGCCAAAGCCCTGCTATCCAATGCCTTTGCTGGCCCTGGGGCATCACTGAACGCACAGGCCTTCTCAGCTTCCTACACTGATGCAGAGGGACACACGATTCCTGCTTGCTGCTTTCTTTTTTGTTGGTTGTTTTTTGTTTTGTTTTTTGTTTTGGTTTGGTTTGGTTTGGTTTGGTTTTTTGTGGCTGGGCTGATACATAAAGGAGCAACTATGTTCCCTAAACCTGTGAGGAAAAAATGTCCAGGAGAACATGAGAAAAGCTAAGCTGAAGATATATCTAAATCGTTATATGAGTGGATAAAGCTGAGCTTTGCAAAAACAGAAATGAAGACCGGTTAAACCCTAAGAGCACAGCTGCAGCAGAAAAGGGTTTCTAGAGTACTTAAGCGACTTGGGAGTGGTAACAATTTTTTCCCTAGACAAGTGTTGGGGGGGGCGGTTCTGGGGTTTTGTTTTGTTTTGTTTTTTTTTTTTTGCAAAAAATGCTAAAGCATTCCAGCAATTGCCTGTAGCAGGAAGGAAGAAAATGAGGATAATTATGACATTAATCTATTTTAAAAAGAAAGACGTGTGACAATTAGCGCATTCCTACCAAGAAAGTAACATACAGAGCTATATGTGTGTAGGAAAGTGAAAAGACCCCCCACAGAAGCCATGAAAGGTTATAGAAAGCGTATGTGCCTCACGAGGAAGCACAGCACTGCGACTTTGGCATCAGCGAGAAAGGGTACACAGGAGCTTGTCAATAAGCTTTCAGTTAATAAATATTCAGCAATACTGTAGAAAAGCAATGTGGGAGAGGAACAGGCTGTGGCTGTTGGTCCAACCAGTGGAAAGTGCATACTGAAAAGTTACAGAAAGTCTTGTAAACATATTTACCAAAGCAATCTAGTGCCTGAGACTGGTGGGCTCAAGATAGTCAGAGTAGTCCCAGTCCCTGGGATGCTTACACTCACGTCTGTTGGTATCACGGTAGCACTGATGGCCATGCACTGAAATCAGAAGTTGCTTGCAAGCTGGCGATGAGGACAGGAAGAATAAAATCACACCACAGCACCGTTGGCCTAATTCAGCAAGGCTGATGGTGTCGGCAGCTCTGTGAGCATCAGCTACACCCCAGCTGTAAAACCTTCCCGCTAACACGTCTACGCAGGGCAGAGGGGTGGCAGCCTTCTTCCCCGCTCCAGGCTAGATCTGCGAGGCTGGCAGCCAGCAGACACTGCAGGGTTTCGGTGAGGGTTTTTCTCCCGTAAGTAAATTTGCTCTGAAAGCTAATGCAAAAGACATCCCACAGATTGCCCGGTGCCATTTGCAACCGTTGCCCTCCAGCCTCTAGTCACGTGAACTTTGCAGACATTATTATGCACTCGGACTTACTGCAGGGATCCGTCACAGGTTCCCACTGCCCTCACGCCACGTGCCGTGAGCCCGTGAACATTTGCACACATGCACACACACACACTCCTGCCTACCCAATTTGGCTTGCTCTACGCCAGGTCTGGCATGGCTGCTCAAAAATCCTGTCACTGGGAGCTGGCTAACTGTATCTGCCACTTTGAAGGATTAGCCAGTGCTTAGTGATTTGCAGTTTTGGGTGTTTGGTTTTTTTTTTTTTGTGGGTTTGTTTTTCTGTTTTGGTTTTTTTTTTTTTTTTTTTGTTTGGTTTTTTTTTTTTTGTTTAGTTTTGTTTTTGTTTTTGTTTTTTTTTCTTTCCTGCTGGCAGAACAGCCTTGTCGGCGCACAGCAGGTGCCTTGGGCCAGGGGAACGGGGAGCCCCTCTCCACCTCAGGCCAGGTTCAGCTCAGAGCACTGTATGCCCAGCAAACTCGGCTGCTGCCGCCGCACCAGCGCTATACGCTGAAGGGCGTGTGACAGCAGGACCAAAGAATGGTCCTTCCTGACCCATTAGCCTAACCAAAGCAAACTGTGTGGCATGATATTACAAATTTATTGATTGTGGGTTTGGTTATTTGCAGGCTTACACCAATTTACCTTTTTGGATGCTTCTAAAACTGCTACCAGAGGCAGCACAGAAAGTTACTTTGGCCAAAACCCAGGCTTTCCCTTGCCCCCACCCCTGTGAAGGCCAAGAAAACTAGGAAGAGGTTAAAGTCACACCAAAATACACCCCTCCACAAAATCTAAAATGCTTCAGGCAGGGAGCTCTTCTGTAGAGCTGGGTCTTAATGGCACTGGCAATGGCACATACATAGCTGAAAATATAATTAAAAGCATGAATTTAAGGTTTAGTTAAAACTCTGCCAGACCTGTGTGGCAATTCAAGCTGCAGTTTGAATGGCTTTTTGAAATAACTTAGACTTGGTTTAAGTCCTGACTTAACTAGCTAGTTAGACTAACAATCTCAGGAAGGAGGAAAGAGGGCTGATCTATCACAAATAATGTAAACTGCTCACATAGGTACAGTTCTTGCCATATGAGGGACCATTTACAATGCAAATTATTACCCACCGAAAATGCTGCTGGTCATTTCAGGCAGCTGAGCTGGGGCTCTGCCGATGAGGGTGGGTGTCAGCTGCGCTGGTGTAGCTGTACAGTACAGAGTGTGTGTGCATGAAGACAGGGGCTCAAACTAAGCCCTGAAAAGCCCCTCCTATCCCCCCGCAAGAGCATCCCCACACAGGGATTTGTGTCAGTTTAACTTCACGTTATCAGCGCAACTTTCACAGGCAGTGAATGCCTAACCCACCAAGGATAAATCGATGCCTCCCCTTGTATTTAACAGAGATATGACTTAAATACAGTAAGTAAATCAAAGTAATTATTTAAAATTAAAATGATTTAAGAGACTTAGACTGGGAGAATGATGTGGTGGTTAGAGAAGAGACTGAGACACAGGACTTCAGCAGGCTATTTCTGACTCTGTCAGAGACTTGCTCTACAACTTCAGGAAAATTACTCAGCCCATCTCTAAGACTGCTATAATAATACCTACTTCAAAGGGGTGTTATGAGGCTTAATTCATTAATGCCTGAAAAGCACTTTGAGATCTTTGGATTAAAGGCACTACAGCAGTGCAAAGTATTATTAGCTACAGGAAAAAGCTCTCAGGCAAGCATGGCATTAAATGTCTGCAGTTTAAAAAAAATAGGAAGAAAAAAAAATACCCCAAAGATGGACAAATTGTGAGTGGTTTGGGGTGTATTTTTCTGTGGCCAGGTTTCTATTAGTCAGATCTGTGCTTTGCTAAACCAAGGCCAGAGGTTGTACAGCTCAAGGCCCAGTTTTACTCTCCCTCCTAGAGCTCCCACATTGCAGACATAACTGTTTTGATTTGGGGCTTCTTTTTTTTTATCAAAATCCTGTCTTTGTGGTTCAAAACCATGTCCAGCTTCCCTCTCAGGACATACTACTCACTGAATGAAACAAGAAGAAGAATAAAATAATTTTACCTTGTATTAACTACCTAATTTTTTTAAAACTCAGTTTAAGCATTTACTTTTCAAAAGGCATAATCCAGAAGGATTCAGAACACACAAATCAGGGCCTTTTTTATTACCCCTGGTGGAGCTTATTTACCTACTGTGAGCACAATTACAAATGGACAAATTGCAATGGACACTCATAAATGGACTAAATGGAGGGAACTTTTTAATGAGTGCCTTGGTCCCAAGCATTAATTTCTTTATGATGTTAAATTTTAAAAGCAAGCAACTAAAGGTAACAGGTTTTTCTGTAGATCAGGATTTAAATCTTGACTCATCATTCAGCTGATGCCTGTGTCAGCGCCTGTGCACTAACTCGGGGTGCATTTTAGCCCCATGGGGTGGGGGTGAGCAGGATTTCTCTGATCAAAAGCCAGAAGCAAAGGGGAGGATACAAGCAAGGTTCCCAAAACAATTAGTGGAAGAACAATTTTAAAGCTGTCACATTTTTCTTGTTAACTAAA